AATCAAATGAACAAAATAAACTGATGAACAAAACAGATCCAGAGACATAGAAGCATGGAACAGATTGACAAATCTCAGAGGGAAGGCAGGGGGTGAAGTGGGGTTAGGTGATGGGAAGATATTAACTGAAGAACTTATATGCATATATGCATAACTCATGGACACAGACGCTAGAATGATGGAGGCCTGGCGGAGGGGAGGCAGGCTGGGGGCGGGGGTCAATGGGGAAAAAAGGGAGAACATCTATAATACTTTCAGTGAGAAAGATACATTAAAAATTTAAAAAATTTAAAAAGAGAAAAATCAAGATATGCTCTTTTTCTTTTCTTTTTAAAAAAAATATATTTTATTGATTTTTTACAGAGAGGAAGGGAGAGGGAGAGTTAGAAACATCGATGGGAGAGAAACATTGATTAGCTGCCTCCTGCACACCCCCTACTGGGGATGTGCCCACAACCAAGGTACATGTCCTTGACCAGAATCAAACCTGGGACCCTTCAGTCTGTAGGCCGACGCTCTATCCACTGAGCCAAACCGGTCAGGGCCTCTTTTTCTTATAACAACTTTATAATTTCTTCCACCCTTTATTGTTCCCAACTGTTTTAATAGCATCAATCTTTCCTTAAACCAAGGAAATGGACCAGAAGTGGTTGAGAATCACAATTTCTAGGTCTTTAGTCCTTTCATTTGGAGTCATTTTTGACTGTGTCTTTTATTTTTTTAAGTTAAATTGGGATGACACTGATTAAGATGGTCATATAGGTTTCAGGTGTGGTTTAAACTGCACATCTTAACAGTCATCATGTTCTTTTTATCTTTTCATGTAATTATATGACTAATAATGAACATTGGGGGCTTAAGCACAGTCATTATTTTAAGCACTTTTGCAGCTATTAATTAATTTAATTTTCCTAACAACTTTATGACATAGGTACTGTTGTAAGCACTATTTACAAATATGGAAGTTGAGAATCACAATTTCTAGGTCTTTAGTCCTTTCATTTGGAGTCATTTTTGACTGTGTCTTTTATTTTTTTAAGTTAAATTGGGATGACACTGATTAAGATGGTCATATAGGTTTCAGGTGTGGTTTAAACTGCACATCTTAACAGTCATCATGTTCTTTTTATCTTTTCATGTAATTATATGACTAATAATGAACAATGGGGGCTTAAGCACCTGTCATTGTTTTAAGCACTTCTGCAGCTATTAATTCATTTAATTTTCCCAACAACTTTATGACATAGGTACTATTGTAAACACTATTTACAAATATGGAGACTGAAACTCAGAGAAGTCTGATAGTAAGTGACAGAGAACAGTCTGACTCCTGCGCCACTACTCCTGATCCCTAAGCCACCTGACCACGCTGTGATGAACCTTGAATCTCTCATTATATTACTTCCACCACCACTGGGCAGTGGCTCACCTTACTTGACCTCTGTTATTGCAGTAGACTCCTTGTTGGTCTCCTTGACTTTGCACTTTGTAATACAACTTGCATACTGCTGCTTGATTGCTCTTCCTTAAGCACTGCTTCTACCATGTCATCCCTTTGTTCAAATCCTCCTATGGCTCCCTCTGGCCTAAGATGTATAAAGCAATTTCCATCCCTGGTTTTAGGCTTGCTGTAGTCTGATCCCCACATTATCTATTCAGTGTTACCTCCCCCACTCCCCGCCATCCCATTATTCAGTACTCCATTCAGGCTGATCATTTCACCATCCTCACGAATGTAATATTCATTCCTAACTCTGTGACTTCCTTCATCTCTCCAGGGTTAAACTTTACCTGTCTCAAAATATTGTGGCTCTAGCAACCCTTCCTGACTAATCTCAACTGAAGACCATTCTTCCATAAAACTCTCTTAACACATTTTATGTATCCCTCTTATCATATCTTCCTTGTATTATAGTGATTTGTGGACTTTTCTTGTTTCTATCCCTGCTCACCAGTTTGTTAGCTTGCTGAAGACAGAAACTATGTTTCACTAAACCTTGTATCTCCTGCAGTGCCTCCTTTAATGCAGAGCACATAACAGGTGATCAATAAATAGTTATTGAATTTAACAGTTTCACCCTTTCACCCTCCCAGAATGTTTCTCCTTTCCCTTTTGTTTCATTCCAGTCACAGTCTCTCTCTCTCTCTCTCTCTCTCTCTCTCTCTCTCTCTCCCTCATTTCCAGAATGAAACCCTCTTAACTCCTCAAGTTCTTGATGAAACCTACTTTCTTAGAATTCTTGTAACACTTAAGGCCAATACCACAAAATTTAGTACTTTATTAATTATTTTATATGGCATAGTCACATTCATGTATTACAACATAGGGCCTGGTATATAAAGGTTTCAAAAAATATTTGTTGACTGAATCAATATATGGATCTTGCCCCCCAGTTGTAAGGTCTCCAAGATAGGGGCCATGCCTAGACCTCTGTGTGCTCTCATAGCTCTCAGAGTACACTAGGTGCTTTATGAATATTTGCTGACTGCAATTGGACTGGATTTCTCTTGCAAGTCTGTCCTTTCCCTCCTGTTGTTTAGCCATCAGCCTCTGATTACATTGAAGAGGCCTCTGAGTCCTCAGCCTAATTTCCCCATAGAGTATAGGCAAAGTTAGGGTGGGGGGTTGAGGAGGTCTTTCTTCAGTCCTGTTTTGAAATTCTATCCTTAATTCGGTACCAGGCCTTCACACAGGGACAAAGTCCTAGAGGAGGGGGCGGTAGTGTTTAGGGTGGGATGGATTGCAAATGTGTACCTTTGGCCAAAAATTATAGAAGTTATTACTGGGTTTGCCCATATAGTCCATGTGGAGGGGGAAAAAAGCTGTTCTCTGTGTACCTTGTAGTGTTTAAAGATGATTAAATCATGATGCAACAATGAATGACTAGGGCAGTGATGGAGATCCTTTTGAGCTCGGCATGTCAGCATTTTGAAAAACCCTAACTTAACTCTGGTGCCATGTCACATATAGAAATTTTTTGATATTTGCAACCATAGTAAAATAAAAATTTATATTTTTTATATTTATTTTATATACTTAAATGCCATTTAACAAAGAAAAATCAACCAAAAAAATGAGTTCGCGTGTCACCCAGATGGCATGAAATCTAGTGGTAGATATAAAAAAATCAATAAAAATGGCTATTTATGTATTACTAGAGGCCTGGTGCACGAAATTCGTGCACTTGGTGGTGGGGGTCCCTCAGCCTGGCCTGTGTCCTTTCACAGTCCAGGAGCCCTCAGGGGATGTCCGACTGCTGCAGAGGTGGGAGAGGCTCCTGCCACCGCGACTGCGCTCACCAGCCGTGAGCCCGACTTCTGGCTGAGCAGCGCTCTCCCTGTGGGAGTGCACTGACCACCTGGGGGCAGCTCCTGTGTTGAGCATCTGCCCCCTGGTGGTCAGTGTGCATCATAGTGATCAGTTATTCCTCCGTTCGGTTGATTTGCATATTAGCCTTTTATTATAAAGGATAATAATGATTTGTATTTGCCATACAGCTAACATGGCAGGGACAACAGTGACTAATATTCCAGTTTTTTTTTAATAATATATTTTATTGATTTTTTACAGAGAGGAAGGGAGAGGGATGGAGAGTTAGAAACATTGATCAGCTGCCTCCTGTACACCCCCTACTGGGGATGTGCCTGCAACCAAGGTCCATGCCCTTGACCGGAATCGCGCCTGGGACCCTTCAGTTCTCAGGCCGACACTCTATCCACTGAGCCAAACCGGTTAGGGCAAATATTCCAGTTTCTTGAAGCAAAGTCTAATCTACTGAAAGGACTGGGATAGGCAGACATGTCTATTTTACTGTGCACCTCACAAGTACTCAGCAATACTTGGCCATGGCAGGTGGTAAGATAGTTCTGCAGGCTGGAAGGGGTTCAGAACTACTCGGAATGCACTCTATAATGTTGCAACTCAGAAAAGTGAGAGGGTGTGTGTACAGCGTGTATAGAATATAGTCCTTAGCAACTCTTTTTTAGTCTTGCTTCTAGCTGGAAAGAGGAAAAAAGATTGACAGTTGTAACCAAGGCATAACTGAAGTCTCACTGGACAGAAGAATGAATTCAATACTGCACTGAGGAGTAGACTTGCCAAGATATAGATTTTTAAATTCATATTTTATGTGTATTTATTTTCCACTTCATTGGCTTATATGCTTAAAAAGGTATTTGTTTTAAATGCAGGTGATTCGAGAGCATTTGATCCAGATTTCAAGGGACCTATTGCCAAGAGGTAAGCAATTATTTTCCTAGAAGTACATTTTTTTAAATAAACACAGAAAAGCTTGTTTTTTAGTGCTATTTTTCAGTCAGTGGAGAATTATGTCTACTGTAAGGGGAAAATTTTAGGCTACAGGTCATCTTATTTAACCAGGATAAATCTTTCCATGAGCCATGAATATCCTCTGTTTGGCAGATGAGCTGCTTTAAGTTATTAGAGTGAAGAGTTTATAATTCGCAAAAAGAGAAGTAAAAAAAATGCTTTACAAGATTTAACCACTTTGTGGAGAAGCAAACACACTCGGGTAGTTGTTTTATGTACCTGTTTACTCTGTGATTCACAACTGCAGTGCAGAGTTGCTATGCCAACTTCTTGCACGCCAGGTATGTGTGCTTCTCAGTTTCCAAAAGCGGAGAGCTTTCTTAGAGACAACCATTCACCAATGCAGCATGCACGCTTTACGATATTTTAAAATCCTCTGGGGAAATATATACTTGTCTCAACTGGTGATTCTCCCCCAAAGTTGTGTGGCATTTAAAAATTATCTAATAACTCATAGGCCTTTTATTTTTATTTGTTATCTATCCTCTATTCCCAGGCTTCTTGCTAATCAAATAGGGGATTTGCAGGGTAGAATAGCTAAAAATGAAGAGAAAATTATGCTGTTGGTAGCTGGTTTGTGCTTGGCTTTGACATTGATTTCTGGCAGTTGTATGCCATAATAAACCGTGATGAGGAATAATGATCAGCTGCTTATTTGCGCTTGCCAACCATCACCGTGTACTAGTACATTAGCATTTACTGTTATGTCACTGTACTATCCCAGCTTTAAACAAATGGTTACTCAGTGTATTCTAATGCTCTAGAAACCCAGCTCATTTGTTTTGGGTCATTCATTTAAAGGTGCTCCTCTGCCTTCTTTAGAATAAGTATGTTCACATTGCCTCTCACATTCTCTTCATGGTAACACCATGAGTACATTTTGTTGCCTGGTGTACAAATAGTCTCATTCAATAAGGAAGCTACTCTTAGTGTATTTGCATTCATTTTACAATAACTAATTTGTGAGAATTGTATCTAGTGTATTGGTCTCAAGGGGCTTTCAGGGATAATCCAGATTCTTCAACAGTAATAATGACAACAACAATAATAATAGGAGGATGAGGAGAAAGAAGAAGAAGAAATGAGCTGCCACATTTGGGCAGATGGCATACAGATTACAGGTGCCTTTTCGAGCTGTAGAGAAGGAAGCAGAGCTAGGCCTGGCTGGCTTCATGTGTGGGCAAGGAGATGAGAGCTCTCTGTATTTCATTGTTTAGAATTTAATGAGGGAACCAGGTAATCCAGGCAAAGTCAAAACCACTGTGATAATCACTGTGAGGAAAATAATTTATTTTTACCTACAGCTTTTAGTGCTGCTAGGTGAAATGGTCAGTATGTAGCTATACCTCCCCTACTCTCCAATCCAGGAACAGGAAAGTATTGCTTAACTACAGGAAGTCACAGTGACCTTTGAGGCTGCAGGGTTCTATAGTGCCCTTTCTGGGAAAATAATTAGGGTGTTTAAGAAGCAAGTGAGGAACTCTAGTTTCTTCATATTAGCTCTAGCAGCAAGGCCAGCTTTAATAACACCTTCTGCTTCCATAATGTCACTTTCTTTCTAAGAGAGCCGAAGTCTTATCAGATATTCCGGCAGACCCTGACAGCGCCCCCTGCCTGCCATCCCCCATGTTCTGTACGCCTCTCTCAGTTCACAAGGACATTGTTTTGTGCGTTGTGATCACCCATCTGCAGTTGTTTCCAAAGAGGTGAAGGAATGATGATTGTGCCACCAGAGAGATGAACTCAGTTTCTCATTTTTCCTCATAGACTAAAAATTGGGAATATGGAAGCTATTGCCCCATAATGTTGACCCAAAAAAGTGATTTTGATAGTTTACGGTGTCTTCCCTGCCCCTTTTGGAAAGCCGTTATCCAGGGCCCATGATTTGTCTCCTGTTCTCAATAGGTTGGTTGATGTTGGATTGAGGTAGTGAGATTTGTGATTGTTTAAGGGAGTATTCAGCAGTACTATTCCTGGCAGTACATTAGAGGGCAAATTGAATGCACCTGGAAACTAAGAAGTAAATCGCTTTTATAAGATGCTACATGAGAAGTTCCCGTTGTTACTTGAAACTCAGAAAAATTCCGTTTAATGGAGAATTAGTATCCCTTCTGTCAGATAAGAAGAATGGTATAATCCACTTTATTTCTGCATTTATATAGACTTGTAGAACACAAATGGATACATTTAATTTCAATGCCAGCAACTGCATTCGCCTTTGAGTCAAGAATTTCTTTTCAGGACTTTAGATTTCCATTTCTTTTTTTAATAACTCTATTGTATCCAGGTGTTTCAAGTCATTTCATTTAAGATCCTTCCTGGAAAGAGGCAGCATGTAGGTAGACAGGTAAATAGAACTGAAAGCCTTTCATGTTCCATAATTGCCTTTCCCCCGTTTCCTTATACACAACATAGATTGAGGTCATATGATTGTACTAATCAAATTGGTAGGTTTCATAAAGTTGAAAATATCTATTATTATAGAAGGTGGGAAATCTGTCTAAAATGTAATAAGATGCATTCATTTTTACCTGGAGCTTTGGGGGGAGGTGGTAAGTTCCCTACCATGAAGAGGTTCAAGGAGAGAGTGAGAGGCATTTATTAGGGATGTTGTAGAAGAGATGCATTCCTACAGAGGAGTTGGACTAAGTGACCTCTGAGTCCTTTTCCATCTTGAATTTCTATCACTCTGTGAACATACATGTACTATTAACCCAGAATATATACATTTTGCATTTCCCATAGACAGAACATTATTCTAGTCCTGGAGAGAGACTTAAGGGAACCTAAAAATTGACCACTGTTCTGATGGAGCATAATGATTTTTAGACACACGTTAGATACCTAAACTAATGGAACCAGAGTATTTTGAGGTAGCTGGAGTTGGGTAGCAATACCCTGGGTATTTCACATAATAGGAGGGTCTTGAACAATTTTTAGAAGTAGGATCATGTTGTCAAAGGTTGCATCTTTTATTTGTTGGCTTAAAGATAGGACAAGCATATACCAAGCAAAGCAAATTTGCTTAGCTAGATTTGAAAGCAGAGGTTAGATATAACATCTATCTGAAAGTAGAGGGGTCTGGGCATGTGTATGAAATATTGGAGATGAGATATTGGCAGGATTTTGTTTCAGTTATAATAGAGAAGGAAAAAAGTAGAGGAGTAGGCAGATTCCATATCATGCATTAGTTTATTCATTCATTCATAACTCTTATCTGTTAGGGACTTGGACATACAGAAATGAGTAAGACACCAACTGTGCCCTCAATAAATTTAAAATTTAAACCACTGACTTGACTAAAAAAATGAATGACTTTCTAAGTAGAGCTGCAACCATAATTCAGGACAGTAAAATGAATTGTTATTCCTCATTGGAAGGATCAAGAAATACTTCTTGAAGGTGTTATTTGAGTTGGACCTTGGAGGAGGAGAGTGCTTTTGGTAGAGAATGAGGAAGGGAATCACACTCTCTGAGGCATGTGTTCCGGATCAGATGCTCCAGAGGCTGAGATGGAGTTTGGGGTGCAAGCTCTTTGTGAGAGATCAACATCTGTGAGAAGAAGGGCAAGGAAGTGGGATTCTACAGAGGGAGATGTCAGTCTGCTACCAGACCACACAAAGCCTCAGTCCATGCTGCAGGGAGCCCTGGGGTGCGTAATGCCCCACCCAGGGGTCTGGAGTAACTGCAGTGGCCACACCTTTAGGAACCCCGGCTCAGTCCCTGGTTTGCCTGCGGTCCTGGAGGGCATGACCTGAGGTGAAGAGCCTGCAGTGGGTCCTGAAGATGCATATGGCTGGAGGCTGTCTGTGACCACACTCCATAGTGGGCAGGAGTCCTTCCTCAGAGGGGAACCTGATTGTGCATCTCTGTGTGAATCACAGCGTGTGAGTGCATGGCGTGCTCGCATGCCTCGGAAGGGCTGGAGCAGAGACCTTTGGGAGTGAAGCTGAATAGATCATTTGAGATTCTGGTTTGACAGGCATGATAAGCATGTGGAACTTCCTTTTTCCCTGTGGTGATTTGTCAAGGGAATTAAGTGAGGCTAATGATCATCTGCTGCTTTGCCTTCAGGAGAGAACTCCAGGTGGTGAACCTGGGACACAGAGCCTCTTAGCAGTACTAGTTGCCTAATGGTGGGGTGGGGGGAGGACTATACATTACATCGTGTCCAATTTTGTTTGGATCTCTTATTCTTGGCTAAAGGTGTCCTTGACGGTTCATTCAGCATAGACATCTGACCCTTCACCTTTACTGTGATTCCAACTACAACGTTTCTAAGGAACCCATATCTTCTCTTTTTGGAGAAGCTAATCCTTATCTTCATTACCATATGCCTGTATCAGAAAGACAGCTGTGTCAGAAGAATATACATATTGCCATATGTTCTTCATACTGTTGTGCTCTGGCAGTTTTGCTACTTAAAGGATTTGTTTTTTAATTGCTCTCAATCAATACTTAGATATAGCTCAAATGTGATTTTTTTTTGGTGGGGGAATGGGAAGAGAGACATTCCCCCAGAAGTAGTTTGTGTACAGATGGAATAGAAGACCAGTGAGCGGGCACAGCTAGGTGGCCAGCAGGGGTGGGAGCTGCAGGCAGCTCCCGAGGGCCTGGGCCCTGGGGTGCGGTGCTGAGGTGTGACTGGGCTGTAGAATGTGAGACGAGGACTCTGAGCCATGCTAGCAGCAGCAGCTCGTTCTTGGATTTCCAAGTCATTCGCAAACCAGCAGTGCGGAGGCAGGTTACCAAGTCTAGCTAGAACCGCAGAGGACTTGAGAGTACAGAGGGTATGACAGGAAGCAGAGGGCAAGGCCTGGAACGGTTGGCTTCACTTGCCAGCCTGCGACTTTAATTGCTGTCCCTAATGTAATGATTGCACAGGGTTTCCATGCCAAGGTTATTCTCCA